TAAAATAATGGAGTTATGATTGCATAAATAAATAAACTGCAAACATAAATACTTTGACTAAAACACAATTGGCAGATCAAAATGGTATTGTTCATATCTGAAAGCCAAAGTTTTAATAGCATATCTAACACCTATAAGACGGCATTATCAGTATTTGTGTTGCATGCTAAAATCGTGATATCTTTTAATTATATTGAATGACTGCATTGTATAGGCACAAGGTGAGCTAGTTGTGTTGCTCACCTCCCACAATTTACCATTTTCAGATTGAGCAGCTGGCCGTGGTCACACCGAGGGCAGTGGTGGTCATTATTAGTTATATTATGATTATTCCGAAAAGTTTTACAAACTTTGTTTTATTTTCTGCTTTGTGAACTGGATTTGAGTTATGTTTTGAGAATCCTGAGTTTTCAGTTCGAAACTAAGTATAATATTTCCGAACGCTCTACTTGTCTTAAATTGTTGAGAAAGAAAGTAAGGTTTTGGGCGTTAGTGTCCTAAGGACCCAAGTGTGAGGCTCGGGTCGAGATAAAGAAAAAGAGAGAAAGAAAGTTTTAGCAAATTTGAGAAAGAAATAAAGAAGCAGTTTTAAAAAGATTGAGAAAAGAGAATGTTTTTAGAAAGGTTTGAAAATGAGGTTTCTAAAAATTCTTGTATTTTCTAGAGTTAAGTAAGTGGCCGCTACATTGGGTACAATGTTTTAAACTTGTTCCGGATTTTTTTTTCTTTTCAAATACTTCAATTTTAATTTGAAAATGAATCGTTAGCAAATAGAGATGGTCACGGGTCGACCCATCCCAGAACTGGCCCGGACCGGCCCGAATATGTCTGGTTCATGACCCGGACCCTTAGCCTTTAACGGCAGGTTCAATGTCGATTTTTTTGCGTTTTTGACCCGCCGGGCCTGGCCTTGGGTCTTCCGACGGGTTGTAGTTGTTTTTTAATTTTTTTTCTTTTATGGAACCGCTAGGTCGGGTCGGTTCATTTAACTAGCCCGGTTCTGGGCCCAACATTTGAGGCCCGCCGGCCCGGCAGTTGAACACGTCTACTAGCAAATGTAAACTTATTTAATAAATCATATATTATTAGAGCTGTAAACGAGCCGAGCTGAGCTCGAGCTCTTAACGAGCCGAGCCGAGCTGTTAAATAAACGAGCCGAAATTCGACCTCGAGCCGATCTCGAGTTTTAACGAGCCGAACTATAAAAAATTATATAAAAATCTAATTTTCGAGCCTTATCGAGTCGATCTTTAAATGATCTTTAAATCGAGCTTTAAATGAGCTGAGCTTTAGCCAATCAAGCTTTAAATGAGCCGAACTTTAGCCAATCGAGCTTTAATGAGCTCGAGCTTTACTCGTTAAGGCCTCGAACTCGAGCTGAACCGAGCCAGGCTCATTTAATTTAATAGCACTATGTATCATTTATAAATTATTAATTTTGTGTTGATTTAACTATATAAATGTGATTTTATAAAGAACAATCTTGGTTTAATGATCTTCATAAAATATATTCGAATGATTTAATTATGTTAATGAAAAACTATTTTTTTTAATAAAATATAATATCTTCCCCTCAAATCATGTGTGAACTAATATGATATAATGCATATAATTATTGGTTATGTGTGAACTAATATGATATCATCCATATAATTATTAAACCAAGTGTCTTCTCCCTTTTGTTTAAACATGTTATTTTATTTTTTATGTGTTTCTATGTATCATAAATTAAATTATCTTTGTATAATTTTCTATTCGATCCCTATATTCCATATGTAAAATAAAAGATCATTTCAATCAACAAAAATAATATTTAAATTTAAGTATTTAAATATAAAATGAATATAACACAATTCATTAAAAGGAGTAAAATAACATCACCAATAAAAAAAAAATGCTTTTCAAATAAATACAAATAAATTAATAATTTACTAATACAAAATCAGAACGTGCTGGTGGCAGGCTCGCATACTTCGAGATCCTATGTGGCAAAATTACATGCTTTGTTATTAGACTTGGATAAATTTTAATTTACTTCTAGTCCAAAAATAATTAGGTCCGGATTATCCATAAATATGTTGATTATTTATGGTCATATTACATGTATTAATTGTATTTTAATATCATTTCTTATTATAAACATTAAATTGTAAATATATTTTAAAAATTAATAACTTTTGTATTTTTTATCGGTTTTACATATATAATATATTATATTAATCATCTCTTGATGAGCTTCCTTCAACATCCCTATTGTATGTATAAAAAAAATAAATTATATTTATCTTTATAACAATAATACAGTTGTTTTTAATATTAATTAGAAAATAAAATTATTAATCAATCAATATATTTATATTGAAGTAGTTATATGATATAAGTTACAAAATTACTATAATAAACACATGTAAGTCACGTACAAGTAACAACCGTCATTCTAAAATATATAATAATATATATTTTTTTATAAAAAAATAAATAAAATTTAAAATAATTTTTCTCATTAATTTTTAAATTTAAGAAAAAACTTTGAACAAGCACCCGTCTAATACACGGGTGTTGTACTAGTTATTATTATTGCAAAAATAAAGTTCTTTAAATAATTTTTTTCTTCTTATTTATTTATTTTTTTAAAAAATAAAATAAAATAAAACGAATATGGAGGGTGTTTTGGTATTTAAATGCTCCACATAGCCCCTTTTGAGTTTCTCCGTGGTTTAAAATCACTGAGTAAGAAGAAGAAGAAGAAAAAAAAAAGAAAAAACCCAAATTTCCTCTGCCTCTAATTCCACACTTCTTCCGTCGACTCCTCCAGATCGCCGCCGTCGTGATGGGGAAAGGCGGAGCGCTCTCCGATGGGGTGGTGAAGAACATCATCCTTTCGTACACGTACGTCGCCATCTGGATCTTCCTCTCCTTCTCCGTCATCGTCTATAACAAGTACATCCTCGACCGCAAGCTCTACAACTGGCCTTTTCCCATCTCCCTCACCATGATCCACATGGCCTTCTGCTCCTCCCTCGCTTTCGCTGCCGTCCGCATCTTCAAGCTCGTCGAGCCCGCCGCCCTCACCCGCCGCGTCTACCTCACCTCCGTCCTCCCCATCGGCGCCCTCTACTCCATGTCCCTCTGGCTCTCCAACTCCGCTTACATCTACCTCTCCGTCTCCTTCATCCAGATGCTCAAAGCCCTCATGCCCGTCGCCGTTTATTCCATCGGGATCTTGTTCAAAAAGGACAGCTACAAAGGCAGTACAATGTCCAACATGCTCGCAATTTCTTTTGGAGTCGCGATCGCTGCTTACGGAGAAGCAAAGTACGACTCGTGGGGGGTGTTTCTGCAGCTGGGCGCCGTTGTCTTCGAGGCGACGAGGTTGGTGTTGATTCAGATCTTGTTGACCTCCAAAGGGATCAATTTAAACCCTATCACCTCTCTTTACTATGTGGCCCCTAGCTGTTTGGCGTTCCTTTCAGTCCCATGGCTGCTGGTGGAGTATCCGATTTTGAAGCAGCATTTTTCTGGATTTCATTTCGATTTTGTGATTTTTGGGAGTAATTCGTTGTGTGCATTTGCGTTGAATTTGGCTGTGTTCTTGTTGGTTGGAAAGACTTCGGCTTTGACCATGAATGTGGCTGGTGTGGTGAAGGATTGGCTGTTGATTGCTTTCTCTTGGTCCGTGATTAAGGATACGGTGACGCCGTTGAATTTGTTCGGTTACGGGCTGGCGTTTTTGGGCGTGGGGTATTATAATCACTCGAAATTGCAGGCTTTGAAGGCAAAGGATGCTCAGAAAAAGGCGCAAATGGCAGATGAGGAGGAAGGGAAGCTGTTGGGAGAGGGCAATGGAGAAGGAAATGAGAAGAAGGGAGACTCGCATGCCTAATTGGGAAGGAAAACTGGGTTTTGCAGGCTTGCTGTGTTGATTTAGGTTAAGTTATGACTTATGAGTTAGTAGTTTCCTTGTTAAGCACATATCTGCTTCTTGGTTCTGCTTTATGTATTATCCGTTCCATTTAGTTTCAGTTTGTGTCCTACTGTATGATTGTTTTGAGACTCTGGATCTCTGTTTTCTTGTGGAGACTCATGCTTATGGAGAATACAGTTGTAGTTTTTCTGGAACTTGTTAGTTTTTTACAGTTCCTCGTAACATTTTGTGGAGGAAGAAGGATTTTAGAACTGATCCAAGCTTGAGGTGTGTTGACTGGGTGATATGCATTCACTTTTCACTTTTAGCTTAATAGAGAGATCTAAGATCCACGATTTTCGCATACGATATTACCTTTTTTGGCAATAGATAATAAATATTCATGGGATCAAGATCTCGAGTACCTTGATGGTTGTACCCGCATCGTAGACACAGCTAATTAGTATACTATTTTAGCTACAGTTGGAAACCAGTAATAAGTTAATAGAGTTGACTTTGCTTATACATCCCTCATGTGGGCTTATTAGTTGAAAGATAAAACATAACACTCAACGACCATCATATGCAAAACTTCAGTTCAAATAATTGAGCTTACAACAATCCTCCAAGTACCAATTTTAGAAAATACAATTGCCAAAAGCTATTTTGATACAAATTTTAGTAATGAAGCCCATAACTTTCACATTGACATCATGATCTATTACCCACTCCTTTTCCCTCTAACCATCTACCAAAATCAATGAAAAATAAAAATACACAGCAAATGTAGCATTAACATCCGATATGAAATGGGTCAGAGCTAAATACTTGCATATCGTGCTACTACAAGCATCGATAAATAGCCCTAATTAATTAAGGGTACAACACACTACATCAACCAATGACCAAAAATGTTAAGAACAAAAATCAACAAAATCAAACTCCAATGACCATTGGCAGCAACCCCATAGCTCGCTTGTAGATGAGTGCTTGTTGCTGTCAAACATGATCAATCTAAGATGGCATTGCACAAATGTGAAGTGATTATTGTTAAAAAATACCTGCTCACGGTTGCATAATTAAATTCTAATTTGCATTTGATGGATGAATCATTGATTTTCTACATTACACGAAATATAATCATAACAGAAATGGTTCCATGTTAGGAGAAACGAAGTCCAAAATAGTTCTAACAATATGTATACACGAAAGCTGCTGCAATATCATCATATGCACTTCTATTCTCGCACCACAATTAGTTACATTATTGAAAGTACACAATCTAATACCAAAGTCCAAAACTTTTCTTGCTTTTCACAAACACCTGATCACATGTAGATGGATTCAACTCCACGTTTCACCTAGCTTCTTGCGTTACAACTGGACTGAACTTCCCAAAATCATCAAACTCAGTGCCTTGCACTGGCGGCAAAGATAATATATTAACGGTTGAGCTTTCCTTTCTGATTTCCTTGAGGGTCCTCAAGGCCGATACCGTGAGTCTTAAATACATGTTTTCCATACATTCAATATCTGAAAGCTCTACAGGAACTCTGAGTTTTTGAGAATCCTTCTCCACTAGCTGATCACTGTAAGCGTCTTCTTGTGGGCCCAACTGCTCATGCTGCAAGAAGATGCGGTTGATCATCATCTCGCACTCCTTTACTAGTTTGTTCAGAACCTCCGTCCTGAAGAATGGCTCGTGCAGAACCTTCTGGATGAAAGGCAATCGAATTAGGTCGCCACTTTTCTTATCGTACTTCTTTAAAATCTTCAATAGCCCTGTTCACGCAAAGTTAAGAACCATTCATTATCTGGATTAATTAACTGGTAAAAATGAGGCACTATTTAAGCTCAAACTAATGACTGCAGGTATAGATGGTCAATGTCTAATGAAATAGGAGGACAAGTAGCAACAGCCAATAGGAAAACTCTGTTAAATAAACATCTGTTCTTTTTAGTTTGACAGGGGCAAACCCCAAACATCACCTTGCAGCATCATTTCATGCCGGTGAATGGGTCCCTCAGTCAATTCAATTGTTAGATTTCAAGCTATACGCGCCGATTAGAAGTATGCAAAGGAAAATTCAGGAAGGCGACAAGTGAATGTGAATTCTAAAGCACTAGACTGCATGTGTGACAACTTATGATGTTGAAGAAAAGAAAAAGAGAAATTGCTATTGTTGTGTTACAACTCACAACTACCACATAAGCTAGTTCGTAGATCATTGTTGAAGAATGGAGTACCTGTATAGTTAAGCGCACTATAATTCTCCAACAAGATCAACTCTCCGTGAAAATCTACAAGCTTTCTTCCTGCTTTCATAAGCTCTTCTTTCGAATTCTCAGCCTCAGCAACATCATCTTTCAGCAACTACATCCAAGAAAAAAAAGAGAAACACAATATAATAAGTACGTAAAGAAAAGAACAAAAATCAAAGAGAATGGTTGATTAGCTAAATTACCTTAAGCCATTTTGCTACTCAATGGCTTGCCAATTTATAGCCCAATTATAGATATCTACACTATGACCAATTTAATCCTAACAGTAGTAACATTTACCAAGCAGACTGTCAACAAAAGTTGCGACACGATGGTGCTGTTTATGGAGACTAATGTTTATTTTTATTTTCTTTTTGTTCTATCATAGAGCAATCCATAGTTGGCCTAGGATATATCCACAACTTTTCTTCAGGAAAAGCTTCCGTCCATCTACGTCCTCACACAAATTGCTCACAGCTGATTAACAAACACATGCTACAAGACTATGTTTCGACCTTCGGTTACAAAATTGAAAATTTAGAACTGTTTTAGGTTTAAACAACAATAAGAAGGGCTATGAAATTTATTTAGCTTGTTCTGGTAGAAAGGAAACCGCAACACGGTCCACTTCGTATAATCAATTGACCCGCTTTTCAATTTAATCGAACAAATAGATCCTAAATATATTTGCAGGAACAAAAACCCCTTTCCAAACTAGTCAAAATAACGAAAGTAGAAATTGATAAAAAGGAGGTACCTTTAATCTGATGATATATTCTTCCTCTTGATCCATGAAGAAGGCATTAAATTTCTTAATCTCTGCTTCCAAGAGCTTGACGAAATGTGTCGTCTCGTCCTTCCCTTGGCCCGATGGATTGTCTCCCAACCTGCGCAGTTTGCTCGGCCTCTCACCTTCATCATCCTCCATGGGAGAGATGGAATTGAGCTCCTTTTTCAAATCCTTGTAGGAAATAAACTTGTCCTGCCAATCGGGGAACATCTCATCGAGCAATTTCCTGAGAATCTTCCAAAACTTCATGTTTATCTGTATCTGTCGGCAAAGCGGAGGAGAGGAGAATTGAAGTTCCGTCTTTACGTAACATATATATGTGTGTGTGGTATCATATGCGAATATTCGGAAGGTTCATATGCGAATATCCAACGAGAATACTCAATTGCTATTCACCGCCCCCCTTTTACTAGTCACCGCCCCCCCAATTACTTTTTTGCCCTTAACCCTTTTTTTGATTTCATCTCTCTAAACTTTCTATCTCTCTAAACTTCCGAACTTCAACGAACGATTCGAGCATCAAAAAAAATCCGAAAAAATGTCGAAAAAATTCTACGGCCTCGGCAAAGGATTCTTCTCCAACAAGGTAATTTTTTTTTTTTTTTTTGGC